CTTTGGTCTGGACTTAGCTATGTCTTCTCCAACAACGCTGTGAAGATCCTCTCAAAAGAAGAAATCCAGAAACGAATCGCCCAAGCAGCCGCTAAGGGCAAGTAGCGAAAAAAATAAATAGGTAGAGTTAGAAGTTATTGTATAGTATTCCAAAGTTTGATCTTTCCCACACGAGTCAGACCGTATTTCCTAACGGGGATTCCGCATATGTAGCATCTAACATGCATATGGATTTCTACGGGTTTCTATGGGTTCAAATATGGACCACATGAATGCCCAAAAGTAGGTGTGGCGGGCATGCCTGCTTGTGATATATCTGACATGTCAACGTGGGGGTATGTACGGAGTACTCCATAGTCTGATAAATAGCTTACCAGGTAGCCCTAGGTTATACATGTTAGATGTGAAGGTTCTAATGCTCGCTTTTTTTCTTAAGGAAAGGAAAAGAAAGAGAAAGGCAACTTATAAGCTGCTACCTGCGGCGGAGTACTCCTAAGTAAAAATATATATATATATGTGGAGAAAAACGAACCCAATCGAACCAATCGAACCGTGCATCTGCCGAGCTCTCGGCAATGCGAATTAGGCGTCCCGATATTTCTGCGAACTATGGTAAACTAGATCAGACAAAAGTCAGATTACCAAGATCTCTTAGAGTCGGGGTACGCTTTGGGCCGAGTGGATCACTGGGATCTTGGAAAGTCGCCGAACTACTCCGTATGTTGTATACAGTGTGTTCGAGTTAGGAAGGCGGGCCGATGCACCCCCGGTTTGATATTCCACATTCGTTGTTCTATTCCTAGTATTAGGGGGATTTTACAGGGGTTACCTCCTGGGCATATTAAAAACAATTCGTAAGCAAGATTGTTAATCCATTCTACACCATACGAGGGTACGGTGTATAAAAGGGAAAAAAGAAAAGAAAAAACAGTCGGAATATAAAAGCCGGCCCCACGTGCTTGCATAAGCCTCCAAGGCTGATAGTTGATAGGAATGGATATTCCGTTTGATGACATTCTGGACCAATGAACAGCCAGCAGGCAGCTGAGACTCGGGCCTAAGGCTTTTATCTCCGTGAAAGCTTGAAACCTGAAAATTCTTTTTTGGCACTCAACCTGACTCATGAAGACTCATTACTCCACTATAGCTCTTGAGTCGAGAGTTTGCCTCATTATCTCGTTCATGATTCGACGTTCGTCTTGCTTATTCCAAGGGTCCATAAATTCCCTTTTTAGCGACTGACAAATGCACCGGGGTTAAGTGAATATTCTGGCATTTCCCAATATAAACGGCGTTCAGTCCTCTTTGCTCTTCTCCCTAATCTTTCCTTTATAATTCTCTTCTTCCTTTATAATCCTCTTATTCCTTTACATTTCCCTTTTTTAATTCTATTCATATTCCCTCCTTTAATTAGCCTGGCTATAACATAATACATCTTTATCTGCCATTGAATGTTACCGGAGAGTAGAAATTACCCGAGCTCCGACATGGAGGGCCATTCCGAACAGTCGCATACCGTCTCGGATGCCCAAGCCCATGCTCAGTCATCCAGGCAACAATCCAGCTCAACTGGCGAGACCTACCACCATGATGCAAGCTCCGAACCCACCGCGGAACAAGTCCGCCAGACCACCGAAGCTCCCATCGATCCTACTTTAACTGACAGCTCGACCGCCAGCTCGTCTGTGAGTGACGAAGATGGCCGCTGGGGAGAGCAGAAGGCCGGAAAGGCCGTCTCTCGCAGCGGCGCTATGGAGGACATGGAAGAGATGCGCCGCGAACTCACCCGTCTAAGCCTGAAGCGCACCCGCTCTGTCACTGCGAGCGTTCGTGGCCGAAAGTCGCAGGTCAGCCGCCGCGATGAAGAAAAGGCCGATGAAGAAGCAGAGACCGAGGACGAGGCTACCGACAGCTTCGATCTAGGTGAGTTCCTAACCGGTGGTCACCTGGAGCGGCGCACGACCGCTGGCGAACCAGCCAAGAAGGTCGGTGTCGTCTTCAAGAACCTTACCGTGCAAGGCGTGGAGACTGGTGCATCTTTCGTGCGCACCCTCCCCCAGGCTGTGATCGGTACATTCGGCCCGGATTTGTACAATCTCGTCTGCCGGTTCGTGCCGCAGCTCCGATTCGGCAAACACCCTCCCGTTCGCGATCTGATCCATGACTTCAGCGGTGCTGTGCGCGAAGGTGAGATGATGCTGGTGCTAGGCCGTCCCGGTGCTGGCTGTACCACCTTCCTTAAGGCGATTGCAAACGACCGTGGTGCTTTCGCTGGTGTCCATGGCGAGGTCAGCTATGGTGGTCTCTCTTCTGAGGACCAGAACAAGCACTTCCGTGGAGAAGTCAACTATAACCCGGAAGACGATCAGCACTTCCCATCCCTCACTGTATGGCAAACCCTCAAGTTCTCTCTGATTAACAAGACTCGCAAGCATGATCGGGAAAGCATCCCCATTATCATCGATGCCCTGCTGAAGATGTTCGGTATCACTCACACCAGGAATACCCTCGTTGGTAACGAGTACGTCCGCGGTGTCTCCGGAGGTGAGCGTAAGCGTGTGAGTATCGCAGAGACGCTGGCCACCAAGTCCTCAGTGGTCTGCTGGGATAACTCGACTCGCGGCTTGGATGCCAGCACCGCACTGGACTACGCCAAGTCCCTCCGCATCATGACCGATGTCAGCAAGCGCACTACGTTCGTCACACTGTACCAAGCCGGAGAAAGCATCTACGAGCTCATGGACAAGGTGATGGTCATTGATGAGGGCCGCATGCTCTACCAAGGTCCAGCCAATGAAGCACGACAATACTTTATCGACCTGGGTTTTTCCTGCCCCTCGCAATCGACTACAGCCGACTTCCTTACTTCGCTCTGCGACCCTAACGCCCGTGAGTTCCAGCCTGGTCGTGAAGCGTCCACCCCCAAGACCGCCGAGGAACTTGAAAACGCCTTCAAGAACAGCCAGGGACACAAGCGTATCTGGGAGGATGTCTCCAGCTACGAGAGACGTCTCCAAGACACCGAGCAGGAGGACACCCGCCGCTTCCAGTCCACGGTCGCGCAGTCCAAGTCCAAGTCCGTCTCCAAGAAGTCGCCATACACCGTCTCCTTCGTTCGCCAGGTCATGGCCTGCGTGCAACGCGAGTTCTGGCTGCTCTGGGGCGACAAGACCTCCCTCTACACAAAGTACTTCATCGTTATCTCCAACGCCCTCATCGTTTCCTCCTTGTTCTACGGAGAATCCCTGGATACTAGCGGCGCTTTCTCGCGCAGCGGTGCTCTGTTCTTCTCAATTCTGTTCCTTGGCTGGATGCAACTGACTGAGCTGATGCCTGCTGTCACCGGGCGCGGCATCGTCGCCCGCCACAAGGATTACGCTTTCTACCGCCCCTCTGCTGTCTCCATTGCCCGTGTCATTGTCGACTTCCCTGCTATCTTGTCCATGGTCATCCCGTTCACGATTGTTGTGTATTTCATGAGTGGACTCGACGTCACGGCGTCCAAGTTCTTCATCTACTTCCTATTCGTGTACACGAATACCTTCTGCATCACGTCGCTCTATCGTATGTTTGCTGCGCTGTCGCCGACTATCGATGACGCGGTGCGTTTCAGTGGTATTGCCCTGAACCTGCTCGTTTTGTTTGTCGGTTATGTCATTCCCAAGCAGACTCTTATCAAGGACTCTATCTGGTTCGGATGGCTGTTCTATGTCAACCCGATCGCGTACAGTTACGAGGCGGTCTTGACAAACGAGTTCTCAGATCGTGTCATGCAGTGCAATCCATCCCAGCTTATCCCACAGGGTCCCGGGGTGGACCCCAGGTACCAGGGCTGTGCTCTTACTGGGTCGACATTGGGCGAATCATCTATTACCGGAACTCAGTACTTGACTGCCAATTTTGAGTTCACGCGCAGCCATCTATGGCGTAACTTTGGTGTTGTCATCGCCTTCACCGTGCTGTACCTCCTGGTGACTGTCATCGCTGCTGAGGCACTCTCGTTCGTTGGCGGTGGAGGTGGTGCTCTGGTCTTCAAAAAGTCCAAGCGCACTAAGAAGGTCGCTGCCCCGACCAGCAACGATGAAGAGAAGGTCGCCAACGCAAAAGACAATGCCGCTCTCGCCCGTGGCGAGGCCTCTTCTGATAATGGTGCCGGTTTCAACCGCCTGACCTCAAGTGAGCGCTGCTTCACGTGGCAGAATGTTGAATACACTGTCCCATATGGCAACGGAACGCGCAAGCTCCTCAACGGTGTCAACGGTTACGCCAAGCCAGGCGTAATGATCGCCCTGATGGGTGCCTCTGGTGCTGGAAAGACGACGCTACTCAATACTTTGGCCCAGCGCCAGAAGATGGGTGTCGTGACTGGTGATATGCTCGTCGATGGCCAGAAGCTGGGTCCTGATTTCCAGCGTGGTACAGGTTTCTGTGAGCAAATGGATTTGCACGACAATACCTCTACCATCCGCGAAGCCTTCGAGTTCTCAGCCATCCTCCGCCAGCCCCGCGATGTCCCGCGCCAGGAGAAGATCGACTATGTGGACCGTATCATCGACCTTCTCGAACTCGAGGATATCCAGGACGCCATCATCGGCTCTCTCAACGTCGAGCAGAAGAAGCGTGTCACCATTGGAGTCGAGCTTGCAGCCAAGCCCAGTCTGCTTCTATTCCTGGACGAGCCAACCTCCGGTCTTGACAGTCAAGCCGCATTCTCCATCGTCCGCTTCCTTAGGAAACTCTCACAGGCCGGCCAGGCTATTGTCTGCACGATTCACCAGCCCTCCTCCATGATCATCCAGCAATTCGACATGATCCTCGCCCTCAACCCCGGCGGCAACACCTTCTACTTCGGACCCGTCGGCAAAGAAGGCTCCGCTGTGATCAAGTACTTCGGTGACCGCGGCTTCGTCTGCCCTCCATCCAAGAACGTCGCCGAGTTCATCCTCGAAACAGCCGCCAAAGCAACCCACCGCAACGGCAAACTCCTTGACTGGAACGAAGAATGGCGTAACTCGGACCAAAACCGCGAAATGCTCGCCGAAATCGAGAACATCCGCGCAGAGCGCAGCAAACTCCCCGTCGAAGAATCCGGCTCCGCCCAATACGAATTCGCCGCCTCGACCTCGACCCAAACCCTGCAGCTAACGAAACGTCTCTTCAAAAACTACTGGCGCGACCCATCCTACTACTACGGCAAACTCTTCGTCTCAGTCATCATCGGAATCTTCAACGGCTTCACCTTCTACAAACTCGGCAACGACGTAGCCTCAATGCAAGACCGCATGTTCTCCGTCTTCCTAATCATCCTCATCCCGCCTATCGTCCTGAACTCCATCGTGCCCAAATTCTACATTAACCGCGCCCTCTGGGAAGCGCGCGAATACCCATCCCGCATCTACGGCTGGGTCGCCTTCTGCACAGCAAATGTCGTCTGCGAGATCCCCGCAGCTATCATCTCAGGTCTGATCTACTGGCTGCTATGGTACTACCCAGTCGGGTTCCCAACGGGCTCCTCAGACGCAGGCTACGTCTTCCTCATGACGATGCTGTTCTTCTTTTTCCAGGCATCGTGGGGCCAGTGGATCTGCGCCTTCGCGCCTTCCTTCACCGTCATCTCGAACGTCCTCCCCTTCTTCTTCGTCATGGTCAACCTCTTCAACGGTATCGTCCGTCCCTACGCCGATTACCCCGTCTTCTGGAAATACTGGATGTACTACGTCAACCCGGTCACCTGGTGGCTGCGTGGTGTGCTCTCGGCTGTTCTGCCAGATGTCCAGATTGATTGCGCCCCCCTTGAAGCTACCCATTTCAACCCCCCGCCTGGACAAACCTGTGACGCTTATGCTGGTGGATTTGTCGATTCGGCTAAGGTCGGTTACCTGGTTAACCCCCAGGCTACCGCCGACTGCCAGTACTGTCCCTACACGGATGGCGCGCAGTATATGGCGAACTTGAATGTTCATCTTGAGGATAAGTGGCGCTGCTTTGGTATTTTCCTTGCCTTTGTTATCATTAACTGGGCTTTGGTTTATTTCTTTATCTACACGGTTCGTGTGAGAGGTTGGAGCTTTGGTATTGGGTCGCTGTTTGGTGTGGCTGGACTGATGGTCGATCGTGTGAAGGGGTTGTTCAAGGGGGAGAAGAGTGATGAAGTCTAGAGGCTTCAAAAGTTTGGTCATCGTTCTTTTCTTTTTCTTTTTCAATTTTTCTTAGATATCAACATGCATTTACATAGGGCGTGATATTGGATTTCAAGCTTAGAAACGCATATATTACATAGTTAGAGTCATAACATTGTATTTCAGGACATTATCTGTTTTCTTTTTCATTTTCTGTTTGTCTGTTTTCGTTCGAATGTCACAGCATAAAGACTAGTCAATGCATACAGTGCTTTAAACTCCCTTGCCATTCATTTGTTTCCCATTGAACCAACCGAGCAATCCATCCAAACTCCTCCTATCCCAGATACCCATGACAATATTGGTAAAAATCTAGACTCTCACTGGACGTTGCAGATGTAGACATAGACCTGACACAGATATAGACTGTAACCAGGCCCGAGGCTTTCCATCCAGGTCCAGTGTCAAGATCCAAGGGCGAATCAAACCCCAAAGAAGAAAGGCCTCCGGTGCTCCGACAACGGGACAGCGGGCACTCTCATCGGGACAGGAACGGTATCCCTGAAGACATCGACTGGAAGAGGAGCGGGAGGGATAATGCCATGCGTTCCTGGTCCCTTACCTTTCTCCTCAGTCTTCTTCTCCCTGATGATAGGTACAACGACTCCGCATTCCCAGTTCCGACAATTCATCTTGAGCTTTTTCGTCTTGGGATCCTTGACGATACGGCCCCTGGTTCGTGTTAGTCTTATCATTGCAGCAACAGGAACATAGGTATGCATGTACGCACCATGCACTCTCTGACAAATTAGCACTCCCCACGTAAGCCCACCCATGGCATTCCTTGTTATCGGGCATATCGATCGGGGTGGAAGGATGGACGAAGGCAAGCTTTATACCAGAAGGAATGTGCATTAGTACCAATTCATTGTAACCAGCCCGACACCGCTAATACTCACCTTGTTATGCATGAAGACTCCACGCTCACTGACACAGTCTCTAAGCGTGTCACGCGGGAAATTGGTACCCGACCACCAGGCTGGATTGAAGCATATTGTGCCAATGGCGTTTTTAGCATTGGGGTGCACATCTCGCGCGGTCTCGTCTGATGGGAAGTAAATGCGAAAGTGGTCGAGACATTCTTGGTTATGCGCTATTACTTCTGCGGGGGGTTCCTTTTTCTTATTCGCGGTTCGAAGCTCGTAATCCAATAGAGCATTGTCACCTAGTGGGTTGGAGTTGGTTAGCTTAGTCGGTCTTGGGTTTTGCAGGATGGTGGCATACCTTTGCAAGCGAGGTAGATGGAGCGCAGGAATGGAGCGTTGAGATTTCCCAGCGATGAGGCCTGAGTGTCTTGTTAGTATACCCAGTGTTGTATTATATATGCAGACGTAACAGGTGAAGAACGCACGATATAGTCGACGTTAATAGGTGCGTTTGTCTCTAGGCCGAGAGTCTTGATAGCACGACCCAAGCCGCTGAATCCGGTGCGTTGCCAATTGCCATCGGTGTTTGTTCCGCCACTGATATTGTTAGCCAGAGGCTAGTGTTTTGCTAGGGGAATCGGCCAGGGCAACACATACACTGTATGAACGAATGCGTACCGCTTCGTCTCGCTGAAGTCAAACTCGTCTAGCTTCTTGATGATGTTGCGGTGGAGGTCGGATGCCTGGAGGAAGTAGACTAGTTCTTTGTAGAATGGGGTCTTGCCATCATCAGGAACTTCGAGTCTGGGAAGATCAATAAGGAATACAGTCTGCAAATAGTTAGAAAATTCAAGAATATCAAGTAGGCGTAGCCTCGTACGTTTTCCATAAGCCTATCCTCTCCCCAGTCGGTAGGAGTGAGATTGGCGGAGGGGACTGCGATGCGAAGATATCCAGGGTGAAACATCAGAAGCAGCTTAGAATGCATGCAGAATACTTGAGGCTCCATGGGTGGGAAACACAAGCGAAAATTGGGCATGTTGCTAACGTCTTGGCGATATTGCTCTCGCTGTAAACGAAGTCAAGTTAGTCCATGTCATTCAAGGTCATAGTGCGTTGCTAACCGTTTCTTCGTCAGTTGCTTGCATGACAAATATGATTCGTGTGTATGAGTTGTTAAACTTGGAATAAAGCCACGGCATGTCCCACAGGAACGAGCTAAATACGCCCAACTCCAAGTCATCTCGCTGGATGACTTCTTCAATCGTGATTTCGCTTCCAGTGCGAGGGAAGCCGGTGATGTGCGTTTTCTTCACAGCCCCAAGAGGCCATTGGGCCACTGAACGGGAAGTCGGTTGGATGTTGATATTTGTGGCATTTGATGCAAACTGGCGGCAGACTTCGGTGCGAGATCGCACTCGAGCCGTACTCGCTTGGGGGCCAGATTGGAACGGACCGCGCGCGTTGATAGGGTGACGCTCTGGCAAGGGATGGGTCCTGGGAATCTTCCGGCTGACTTGAGCTGTTGGAGGAGAGGAGGTGTCGTCCGCCTTGCGCTTGGCGAGACGTGCAAGACGCTCCTCCTCCATCTGCTTCCGGTTCATGCTCAAAAGTGAAACCGCCGATGGTACGGAGACCTCATGCGGGGCAGTTGCATGTTTGATAGGCTGTGGATCCTCAGGGGCTTTGGTCTCCTCGTTAGGCTCCATGGACATAGCAAGAGCACGTTGCAGCTGCTCATCATCTTCTGACTCAGAACTGACCACAGACTTTGATTTGGGGAATACTTCTTCAATGTCTGAGTCACTACCCGAGTCATTCGTAAGATCCACAAAGTTATCCTGGGACGCCTGAGATGAGGGATGTCTGTTCTGCTGTCGAGACATGTCTTGGCGAGAGGCCTCGATGGCAGCGGTTAACTCAAGATCCACTAGTGGCTCCATCATGCAGAACCCCACAAAGACCGAAAGGCTCTTTTAGGAAAGATAGATGAAGACAAAGGGATTTAAAAAGATGTGGATGGCAGATAATAATGGAATGTTTGACGTGCGTGGAGTATGACGCCGAAGGAAGAGATTGAAATGTGAGAATGCGAGAACGTATGCGCGGACTGTCACTAAAAGGACCCTCAAGAACGAGCGGCCATATATCCAGATGTTTAGAGGATTACGATTATCCCAAACCCAAAATTGACTTTGTTCACGTTCTACCTACAGGTGTCGTCTCCATATGGAACCCCTGTTTGTCAATACTCGTCACGTGAGTGGCCATGCCGTAATATCAAGAGGATATCTCCACTCGTTATACGTCGTCCTTTTAGTCCCATATCTAGACGCTTTACAACACCTAGTTCCTGGTTGATATCTTATACCGCGGGTGAAATGATCATGCCTTATGGTTCACATTGTGACTAGGCCTTCCTTCCCCTGTAGTTAAAGAGATGGGCAGGATCGAACTATACCATACATGGCCTCCCAATTACTTCACGGAAAAGGAGAACATGATTTAGTATTTCATATTCTATCGTCTGCTTCCTTTAAAGACCTGTGTATGGTGGTCACTCCTTTAGCAATTCCCATTCACAGAAGGACACCGAAATAGACCTAACCCCGAACATCTACGGGCAAATTGAAGAAAGCAGTCGTAGCGTCCGTAAATATCAGAGTCCCAAGATCAGTGAGAGGGGAGCGCCGAGTCGATGACTCGCCGGACCCGCAACAACACATCCCATCACGATCGTTTCCCTCCGTGCTCATCCAACCCCTCGCTCTATTTCATCCCATCTCGCTCATACACGTAACCATCATCCAATGAAGAAGATCAAGATAAACGTTCGTCGTATCAAAGAGCGCGCTTCGGCCACGCACGAGCGCATCCAAGGAAAGTTCTCGGCCATGCACGAGCGTATCCGAGGAAGGGTTTCGGCCAAGCGCGAGTTGAACGAAGCGACCACCTCGGAGGTCCCAGCTTCGGAGGTCCCGCATGAGTCTGACGCGCACGCAGCTCCGGAGGTCACAGATCTGGAGATCCCGAATGAGGCAGACCAAGCCATGGACGCAGCTTCGGGGTTCCCAGTTTCAGGGGTCCCGCATGAGTCCGACCAAGCCGTGGATGTGGTGCCAACATCGAAGAGGATTCCACACGCATAGTAAGTTGATATAACCTTAAGGGCACGATGCCACCAACAAGTCCATTTGATCTGACAAAGTGCCAGCTCCGATACTCCACTCTATTACATCGCCCATACTGCTGATGATGCCATCAAGGAGAGGCTCTGGTTGCAGTTTGGCCAAAAGTGGGAATCGTTCGAGAACAGGTTCCTCGCCGATATGGAAAAATTCCCCCCGGCCGTGACGGAGGACAGACGCAGCCCATGTCCATTCGCTTGGCTGCCGCTGGAGGTTCGCGCCAAGATTTGGAAGTACGCTTTCGACGACGGTAAGGAGGCCATCTTCCTCACGAAGAATGGGATGGCTCCTAAAATCCCGACTTGCATGCGGTTTGTCTCGTTCAACTGGATGTCAGAGGCGTGGTTTGCATACGTCAACGCGATTAGCAACCGAACTTTGGTGGTCATGGATTTCCCGAGTCACGCCTACCTTGAACAGCCTTGCCCAATCTTCGGAGCTCTGGTGACAGTCCGACTTCGAGAGATCAAAATCGCGCTGGGTGACAACGACCCCGAGAAAGCCAATAAGCGCACTTGGCAATTCATCAAGTTCATTGTGAAGCTGAGAAATCGGGGATTCCTCACCGTTCGCACGTTGGTCATCGAATTGAGAAAGAACTGGGCATCTAGCCACTTCAATGAGCTGGATCTCGCCGAGCTGTTGACATGCGGCGTATTCACTGAAATCGAGCGCATCCGTATCCATGGAACGATCACAAATGAGCGACTCGAGCGTTTTCTGGAGCGAGCCCGACAGATTGCGCAAGCCTCGTTCTGATGGCTGGCTTGTCCTCAAGCGGAGATCGGGTTATGATGATTTCATAGGCATGGCAAAACCAGATCAACAATAGCAAAAAATGAATCTTTATCAGCAGTTGATTTGCCAAGTCCAAGGCCAACAAGGAGTAGCCTCTTTTCGCTAGGTGTTTTCATTGCAATAGCCGTAGCAATCTGACGAGCAAGCAGTTGACCCGTCGTGTCTTGTCCAGGAGAATAGCCACCTAGTAAGGTGGTGGTGGTTAAACCCTTGAGGGGCAACAGAGCATCATCGCCCTCAGAGAGGGTGTGCATGCCCTCAGTGCCTGGGTTCTGGTTCTCCATCGGTACATGCAACTACATACCATTAGTGATGTTTGTTGAAGTCAAATTCAAGACATACCCAGTGCGCTAATCGTCCTTCTTGTGAAATTGTGACCATGATTTTATCGCTAAAGCTCATTATCACCACGTCTGTTTGTATGCCATTGACTAACCCCGCAATCTGCTTGGTGGTAGCAGGAAATGGCAGGTTGAGGGAATCCTGCAGAGAGCTTGTATCAAAAGATTCAGCCATGGTGATATGTATCTTTGTCCGAATACTGAAAAGCAACAGATGAATATCGGTTAGGTTAACTAAGTTGGTGGATTGGAGCTCGAATGTCCTTTCGTAGGCGGCGGCTAGTTTCACCGCCTCGCGCCAAGCCAGCAGTACCCGACCACCCTAATTTTTTTTGATGAAGAGACAGTTGGATCGCAGAGCTCAATCAATTATCTTTTCCCTCTCAGGCAGAGTGGCTGCAGTAATCCAAGATGCCGCCTAAATTTACACCACGTCTAAGAAAACAAAGGCACCGGCAAAACCCAGACGGCGAGTCGGCTGATACCAATGTCGCACAGCTCCAGCCCGTCTCCAAGGACGAGAAAGAGGCGCGGCGACAGAAGCTGAAGGGGGAGCTACAAGAGCAGCATCCTAAGATGTCCGCAAAGAAGCAGAAACGCTTGGACAAATACATCGTATGTGGATAAGCTGCAATAGAAACGTATGGCTCTAACATCCCCGCAGGAAAACAAACTTAAGAAGGAAGAAAATATCGAATTGTTGAAGAAACTAGCCCGATCGTCTGTCGACACTTCGGCTTTACAGAGTTCCAGAGATCTTTCCAAGCGCAAGAGACAGGATGACGACGTACCTACACCAACAGTTTCCGCGCCGAAACACAATACTCCCGCAGACATCTCAGGATATGAGTCCGACGATTCGGACATCCACCTGAAAGTCTCCGATCCCGCAACAGACCCGAATGAACAAAAGTTACGAGAAGAAGCAGCTGCTGGTAGTGGACTTAAACGACCATTAGAGCTAGGAGCTGACGGATTCCCTGTTCTAAAGAAGCGAAAGCGTGCACCAAAGAAGAAAACCGCACCTGCGCCGGTAAAAGCCGAGGTCGCATGGGAGGGCTTCGATTCAGACGAGGAGGATGAAAATGAAGATGAAGATGAAGAAGATCTGGACGAGGAGTCCGGAGGTGATATCGAAGAAGGATCCGAAGAGGAAGATACTTCGTCGTCTGAGGGCACTTCCGGGGATGAGGATGAGGACGAGGAAGACTCAGAAGATTCAGAAGATGATGTCGACATGGACGAAGATAAGCCAACGCTCAAGACTCGCCAGTCGGCCTTCAAATCTTGGGCGGTACAACAGATCAACGAAGCCGCAGGCTTCAACCCCACTCAGGGAGCTGTGACCGAGGAAGAGCAGGTGTTTGACCCATCTAAGTTGCCAGCAACCCACAATACCATCCAAGAAGAACCTCTCCCTCGGGAGCTTCAGGTAACTCATGGCGATCCCAATCGCAAGGCCTACAGTGTTGCGGTAGACCGCACGGAGGAAATCCAAACCGCCCGTCTTGGACTACCTGTCGTTGGCGAAGAACAGAAGATTATGGAGGCAATTCACAACAACTCAGTGGTCGTCATTTGGGGTGCTACTGGTAGTGGAAAAACAACCCAGCTTCCCCAGTTCCTCTTCGAATCTGGCTTCGGCTCCCCAGGCAGCCCTAATCCGGGTCTAATTGGTGTCACACAGCCTCGCCGAGTCGCGGCCGTAAGTATGGCGAACCGCGTTTCTCAGGAGTTGGGTCAACATGCCGAGAAGGTGTCTTATCAAATCCGATTTGAGTCTACGGCATCGAAGAAGACGGCCATCAAGTTCATGACTGACGGCATTCTTCTACGAGAGATCGCGGATGACTTTGCCCTTCGCAAATACTCTATCATTCTTATTGACGAGGCTCACGAACGCAGTGTCAACACTGATATCCTGATTGGAATGGTCAGCCGTATTGTGGGCCTGCGCAAGTCTTTGAGCGAGGAGGACCCGTCTGTCAAGCCTTTGAAGGTCGTCATCATGTCGGCCACTCTCCGTATTTCGGATTTCACCGAGAACCCAAGTCTTTTCCGTGATGGTGCACCCCCATTGGTTCAAGCAGAGGGTCGTCAGTATCCTGTCGCAGTTCATTTCTCCCGCCGCACGCAGCGTGACTACGTTGAGGATGCGTTCCGCAAGGTTTCGCGCGGACACCGTAAACTACCTGCCGGTGGAATGCTTGTGTTCTTGACCGGTCAGAACGAAATCCGGCAGCTTTCTAAGCGACTGAAGCAGGCCTTCAAACCTACTCAGCGGGAAGATACGACACAGGCAAAGGTGCAGCTCTCAGCTACTGAAGCACCTCTGGAAGCAGAGGACCTTGAGCTGGGTGGCACCGAGATGGACAACGCAGGACATGATGATTACGACAGTGACATGGAGATCACCGGGTTGGATGACGCAGAGGAAGACGAAGGCTTTGAACTTGCTGAAGGCGAGGAGGCTATGGACTCGTCAACTCGTGTTCACGTCTTGCCTCTATACTCCCAACTTCCCACGAAAGAACAGATGAAGGTGTTTGAGCCGCCCCCAGAGAACTCCCGAGTGATCATCCTCGCAACCAACGTCGCCGAGACGTCTCTTACCATCCCCGGTATCAAGTATGTCTTTGACTGCGGTCGCGCCAAGGAGAAGCAGTTCGATCTCTTCACCGGAGTCCAGAGCTTCCAGGTCGGCTGGATCAGCAAGGCAAGCGCAAACCAGCGAGCTGGTCGAGCTGGTCGAACAGGGCCTGGCCATTGTTACCGAATGTACTCATCTGCAGTCTACGAAGGCGAGTTCGCTGAATACACCGACCCAGAGATCCTCCGCACGCCCATCGAAGGCGTTGTCCTCCAAATGAAGAGCATGGGTCTTCACAACGTGATCAACTTCCCATTCCCCACACCCCCAAGCCGCCAGGGTCTCGCGAAGGCCGAGAAACTCCTCAAGAACCTCGGCGCCCTCACAGCCGACGGCCAGGTAACGCCCATCGGCCGTCGTCTCTCGACATACCCCCTCTCCCCCCGGTTCAGCAAAATGCTCCACATCGGCCACCAACACGGCTGCATGCCCTACGTGATCGCCCTAGTCGCGGCCCTAGCAGTTGGCGACCTCTTCGTCCCAGAGAACCAGCTCGATCCCAACAACCCCTTGCCCACCACATCCAAGAAGCAAGTCGACGACGACAGTGACAGTGACAGTGCCAGACGCAAGGTCTACACAAACGCAGACCGTCTCGCAGACGACGAGCGCGAACAACGCACCAAAGCGTACGCCCGGGCCCAACGCGTCTTCAGCAAACACGACGACACATCCGACGCCCTAAAATCCCTCTCAGCAATCTGCGCCTACGGCTACGCCTCCGACGGCGACGCCTTCAGTGAAAAGATGTTCCTCCGCGCAAAGGCCTTCAAAGAAGCAACCCAGCTCCGCCGCCAGCTAACCGACATCGTGCGCTTAAACAACCCAGGCCTAGTCCCCGCCTACGAAGCCCGTCTGCCAGAACCCTCATCAAAGCAAATCAAGGCCCTCAAGCAGATCGTCACAGCAGGCTTCATCGACCACGTCGCTATCCGCGCTGATCTCGCCCCCGTCCCGCCAGAGAACCCGCGCGCTCCCCGTCGTGCCATTGACGTCCCTTACCTGACGCTCTTCCGATCTCGGGACGGTAAGGGCCAAGATCTGCAGGAACGTGCTGTCTACGTGCACCCGTCTTCGCTGCTCGCTAAGCTTACCCCCAAGGAAATGCCGCAGTATATCACTTACTCGCATCTGCAGCAGTCATCTGCTTCCCTGGTCTCTGACCAGGTGCCTAAGATTAGGATGTTCCCGCTTGTTGCGCCCAGTGGGTTGCAGCTCTCGGCGATTGCACATGATACGCCGCTTATTGAGTATGGAAAGCCCATTGGTAAGGCTGATGCTATTGAGGGTGTGCCGCCGCGCAGATCTTGCTGGGTTATTCCTGCTTTGGTGGGTGATGGCGGGAGTGTGGGGTGGCCGATGCCTGCTAAGAAGGTTGTACAGAAGAAGGATCCGAAGCAGGGTTGGGTTATTGAAAAGTTCGTGGCATAGGTGTTGGTTTCGGTGTATTATAGATGAGGTTATGATATCCAAGTGTTCATTTCTTTGCATTCAAAGAAGATTGTACAAAATAACATGGACGACATAAAAAGAAACTTGTTCATGAAACCTTATTTCCATGATAATCCCGCATAACCCTAACACCGATCAACACCATTACTCGAGAAGGAAAGTACAAACCGCAGAACCAGCAGAGAAAAAAAGACAAATCAAGACCTAATCTAATCCCTCCTCTTCTCTCGATAATCACGAGAACTAGAGATCTCCCCGGTCTCCCGATCCTCCCTCAACCCAAAAGCCCTACGCAGCCTCTCCGTCTCCTCGATCTTCGCCTCAGCAAGCTCATGAACCTGGTAAGACTTAAGATTGCGCCTGTCCCGACCAGCTCCAGCTCCAGCCCCAGGGAAAGGCTTCTTAAAGCCCGACTCCGCACGCTCCAGATCATTCTCAAGCTCCTCCAGCAACCGCTGCCGAAGAGCATCACACCGTTCATCAATCTCCTCGTCACTGAGAACCTTCTTCCCGTCATCCGTCTCGCCATCCTCACCAACTTCCTTCTTCACCTTCTTCTTCTTATCCGTCTCCTCTTCAATCCGCTCATTCTCCTCTTCCAGTCGCTCCCGCTCTTCCATCACCTTCACCTCGATCGCGCGCTTGCGGTCGTGCTCCAGGATCTGCTTGTCCGGCATTCGCTGCTTGAATGGTCGGTCCATTGGTCCGCTGCCGTTCGCACCGCTGACAGGCGGGTAGGGAGCTCCGTAGCCTGTGTTGCGGGGTTTGAGGAGGGCGGAGTTGCGTTGCACGTAGCCTGATGTGCCGCTGCCGCGCGGGGTTGTGAGGCCGACGTTGGAGGACATTTTGGTGGTGGTGGTGGTTGGGTTAATGGGTTATTTTGGAGATTCTTCGCTGAATGAGTTCGCGTGGTCGCTGTGGTAGTAATTATTGTTGAATGTTTGTAGGTTGTGGTTTGGTGGGATGGAGAGAGCTCGGAGCTGGTCCGGATACTAGCTAGGTGTAGGTTCTTTCGAGCTCTGAGTGGGGGTTCAGTGAGGTCGGCTTGGTTGGTTGATGCCGACACTGTGGGTTTTCATCCGCTGACGCGCAGTATGAAAATGCTGATCGAGTCCATAAAAGTGGAAGCGCAGACAGGTTTGCTATAATTCTATCAAAATGCGCCGTCTTATCGGACATCACGGGACTGAAGTCATGTGCGATATAGTCTATATCCGTCACGTGCTGCCCACTTTACTATCGCTGTGCTGAGCGATGGCTTAGCCTATGAGGTCTTTTTTAGCCGTTTCTTTATATGTTCTCGAATGTGTTTGGGATGACTACCCAAGGCCCAAGTGGTCGCTATGCACCGCGATACTTTACTTCGGGGTCCTAAGCTAGAGGCGCTGAATATGCTAGGTTGTATGGACGACTTGGTACAAATCTACATCATTCTTAATGATATTGGAGGCAAAATCGAGTCATAATGCATTGATAATACAGCCAGTAGCAAGAGAAAGAAAGAAAAACCACGAGAGAAATTATCAACACGACATGGCAACCCGGAAACAAGCGACACGAAGTCCACAGGAGCCGGCAGCTATAACAAGCTCCCAAGCCAAGCAGAATCGTCCATGCTGACCGAGAAGCACAGAAGCAAGAACACCTTTAACAAGAACACCTTGATTCGGAAGGAAAGCCGTGGAGCTCGCGATCAGGAATCATGGCCATGACTTGGAATATGTTGACTTGGCCATGGAATAGCGGAATGAAATGTGTAGGTGAAAGAAATAAGTGGTAGGTGGTTCTGGGTAGATCATGCAGATGCCATGGCACAAGGTAGCTGCTGTGCAAAGTGGTTGATTTGATTCTTTTCCTGATATTTTCTGCTGGATCCCAACGTGAATGTGGAAGGTCCGGGACTCCATGCTATGGCATATGCGCTCGGAAATCATGAAGAGCGAAAGATCAAACCCGTTCCCCCTTTCCGAGCCGGTTGCCGATATTTTCCCCCATCACAGCCGCCTTAACCCCGTGACAAAATAAAAATAAATGAAAGAAGTAGACAGAGCAAAGACGCCAGAGCCATATCGATTCTCGGACCTGAATCTCGCATCGAGAAGCATTGACAATGATTCACAAACACAATCGTAAGAATAAATGAACATGTCAAGAAAGAAACAAGAACAAATAAGGTAAGATAAGAAATAAGTCAGTGGTCCGAGATCGAGATCGAGATCAACACAAGAAAGAAATAATAAAAAAGAAGAAATAAAGACATTCCAGGCCCTCATTTTGCGCCGTCAAAGCCATGGTCAAGTAGGGGAGAATCACATAGACGTTGGTAACATATATCCCGCTTGATTCCCCTGTATGTATACGCCCCGTATTAGATAGAGAACAAGAAGTCACTCGGCTCAGATCAAATCAGGATTAGAAAGATTATGTTAAGCGAGCAAGATAAAGTGTGCAACGAATTAGTGAGCACTAGTGACATCGACCGGGACAGTAACACCGGTGTTGCCTGTCTCGGGACTCGAAACCGAGGTCACTGTGCTCTTAGCGAGGCCCTTCGACTCAAGGGTGGTATCGACGGTGGTCTGGGCATCCGTCGGAGGAGGAGTGGGTGGTGCGTTACCCACGAAAGGGGCCCGGGGCTGTTCGGTGGGAATTGAGCGCTTGACGGGTTGTGGAGAGGACTTGTGGGAGTGAGGCGGAGTGGTTGAGGTGGTGTGAGACAGAGGGACGGTCGCAGGAGAGTTGGGGTCAAAAATGAGCTTCTCGATAGCGACAATTTGCTTGCCATAGCTGAACTTCTTCAGCTGGCTCAGAAGGGGCTTGATCTGCTCGATGAGGGCTTCACGCTCGGCATCTTTCAATTGGCCCAGCACTTTCTCTGTTGGGGTGTTAGTATAGCACACAAGGAGTGATGGCATCCAACTTACGAATGACATAGTTGCCATACTGATCACGCATAAGCCCAAGGAGAGGGCTCTCACCGCGGTCGTTCGTAGAGGTTAGAGTGCTGATGATGTGGATACGCTCATGTTCCGCGCCAAACTCAATGCTCTTTTCAACCACGTTGCTAGCAAACTTGTGCTTAGAGTAAGCGAGGAGCTGTCCCATGACAATGTCGATCATGCGAGTGCGGTCCTTCTCGTCACCGTTCTCAATAACATGTTGGATGACATAGTTGCCAAACTGGTCAGGGATCAGATTGGAAGTGCAGGCATGAAGCTCGGCCAGAATGGACTGGCGGTCGACCTCCTCACAGTGCTCAAGCATTCTCTGAATGACGCGACAGCCATAAGGATGGGCAGCGAGTCTGTTGACCTGGCCGCGGAAGGCATTGATGATGAACTGCACGTATTGCGAAGGAACACGCTCAATGGCCTTCTGGATGACGTGGTTGCCATTCTGGTCACGAACACACTTGAGGACATGGTTCTCCAGTTCCTTGACCATCGCAGCCTGTTGGTCAGTCAGGATGTGCTCCAGGGCCTTCTGGACCACTCGGCATCCATACATCTGCGTCGACAGTGCCAAAACATGGCCGCGCATCTGATTGGCTAGTATCTTCTTCTGGGTCTGGTTGCCGTGCTCGAACAACTTCTGAACGACATAGTTACCGAAGACATCGGTCATCAACTGAAGACAATTGGGCTGGATTTCACGGAACACCTGCTCCTTCTCATCGCTATTCGCGGTCTCAAGCTTCTGTTGAATGAAACGAGAGCCGTGCTGGTCACCACTGAACTCAACCACGTGGTTGTAGATGTCCTTCAGTTCGTAGCGCTTGTTTCCTTTGCTGTTGGCCCTGAACTCTTCTAGGAGGGGGCTGCGGACAACCTGGGTAGGATCATGCTCACGCGGAGTGCGCGACACCAGAGCAGCCGCACCAAGGCCAGTAAGATGACCTACCGGGTAGAATCCGGAGATAGCGTTCAAACGAGAAGCCTGGTAGGCTTGGAAATCGTAAGAAGGAGGGTACTGCATCCGCGAAGAACCTTGGGCAAGCTCCTGCTCCTGGAAGTTTCGGAGCCTGCGCTCAAAGGCTGCCACCTGGCTTTCATTCGCACCTGTGTTGCGGTACTGAGCGGCGGCCCCGTCTATGCCGGTGTAGATGGGGCTATCCATGCGGGTATAGTCCGAAGGTGAGATGGAGCCGGTGTTCGCAGCTCTGGATCGTGCCTGATAAGCAGCAATCTGCATATCCTGTGCAGCCTCTGCGGTGTATCCAAGTGCCTGGTAGGCATCTTCGTTGTTCTGATACTTCCCACGCTGGAAGGTTCCATCAAAGGATGCATGAGGAACGAACGAGGGTCGATGGGTCGCTTGGGACGTGTAGTTACCTTCGTTGAGCTGCAGCTTGTTAAACCCAGTGGGAAGGTCCATCGACCCACTGCTATAGCGGCCATCGATGCTGTGAGTGTCGGAGTAGAAGGAGGGATGAGCGGAGTGAGCGGGACGTTGGGTGGTGTAAGAGGCGGAGTTGTGAGAGGCGTGCGATAGTGCGCTGCGACCCTGGGGCGGAGACACGTGCTCAGCAATTCCAGATCCCAATGACGCGATGCCCATTGAAGCGCCCATGCCATCTCCGCTTGCACCATCGAGAGGGTTCGCGAAGCCAGGCTTCACAGGGAAAGTCGTACCCACAGGGCTGCCACCGAGACCGGTCGTGTTCATCTGTCGTCGACCAGCAAACCCACCGAAGGAGATGCCTTCTCCAGACGGGGAAACACCCTCCGACCCAGCGTTGAGGTAGGATCGGTGGTTCGCGGCGCCAGCGTTGCTGCTGATGCCAGTGGTGCGAGGCAGTGCAAAGTACGAGCTATCACTAGCTTCATTGATAGCAGGGGCACTGCGGTCATTCGCACGAGTCTGGGTGGGGGATGTTGCGAGACCTCTATTCTGGAAGGAGGGGTTGGTGTTGACGGTGCTCCATGGCAGGTTGGCACGTCCTGACCAGCCGTCTGACTCCGATGTAGAGAGAAGGGAGCCCGATCCGGATTTGCCTTCGAACGCAGTGTCGCTCAGGTGTTGCTCTATAAGTTGCGTCAGCATAGCCCAAGTCGCAATTGGCAGACGAGTAACTCACCATCTCCGAATCCTCCTAGGTTGGAGTCACCCCAGATGTTGTTCTTCCAGCTAGCCTTACTAGCACCGAAACCCTTACCGACACTGTTGCCTTGCGATCCGCGGTTGCGGTCGTTCATCCCGGATGAACTCATGTTGGACGCCCGGTTTGATCGTGCCTAGAGTCGCTGTTATTATCCGCATTCCGTGGATCGACATCCATGGTGTCACTCACGTTGTGTACGCTGGTTGCATTTGCGGCCATAGTAGAAGCCATCCCAGGAAATCTCCGATCGGCAGAACAGTAATTCGATATGTACTCGAACGACGACAATTATTTGTAGGTGGTTCGGAGTTTTGTCTCGCGGTAATAAATCACAGAGCTGAGACGATCGGCCGATGCTGTGTCGACTAGTATTTGCAAGCGGGCACCAGGCACCAGAGACGGCGTACACGAAGGAATATAAGACTGTGGCGAGAAGAGGGGCGCGTTAGCAGGGTCTGGGCCATATTGGGAGATGTTGCATCGGGATGTCAGGTTTGGAGAAAGGTACAAGGGCATGTAGGGTGTCCAAGGTCTGAAAGGGAAGGCTCACCAAAAGAGGGGATAGAAGGGATCACAAGAAAGAGCGAAATGAAGAAAACGAATGCTGTCTTCTGTATTGCTCAGCGGCGAACCCAGGACATGTACAGATTATACAGGAGCAAGAGAGGAAGGGAGAGGGAAGGGAGGAAGAGCGACGAGCTCTGAATGAGGCGAGAAATGCTGAAGGTGGCAGGAAGGTCGATC